AATAAATTAATAAAATTTTATTTTAAATAAATAATTAAAAATCAAATGAAAATAAATACATATACATTAATATACAAACCTTATATATTTGTGAATCGGGTTCATTATACTTGCAAGCATTATCAAACATTAGTATAAAATCTGATACAAGTTCATCCAAATTTTCATATCCATTATTTTTTAAAGTGGACGCTATTTTCTCCATATTCATTGGTTGCTTAATAACTTCATAATAATCAGGATATTCATTTTTATTTGGTAATTTCATAAAAATTAAAGATAATTGTCTTCCCTTTCCATCATGATAATCTTTTATAGTATCATACATAGTTTTTAATTTTTGTAAATGTAGTGGTACAACTTTTTTAGGTCTCCTATGTATTATAAAAATATGTATGATGTATATATTATGATTAATTATATTGACAATATTTTTCACAATATTTTTAAAAATGAATTTATGTATGTATACACTTAAAATATTACATACCCAACATTTCTAGTAGGAGTAGATGCACTTGATTTCGTAGGTTTACCTGTTTCAGGTAAAGGACCTAATTCTTTTACTTTATCCATTAAAACTCTTTCAAGAGTATTTGCATCTTCATATATTAAAGAACCTTCTTCATTATATTGACGACAGTTATTAAACATTAACTAAATGAAAATATAAATATGAAATAAACATGATATGTATTCATAAATATATATATATATATATGTATATAAAATACCTTAAAATCTTGTATTAATTCATTTTCACTTTGATATTTTTCTGCTTTAATATTAGCTTCAATAGCTAACATGTCAATTGGTTCTGCTATTACTTGATAATAATCTGGATACAACTTTTTAGAAGGCTTCTCCATAAACATTAACATTGGTTGTCGACCATCTTCACACTGTAATGTAATAAACTCTGTATTGCTAAACTTCAGTCTTGATAATTAAAATTGGAATTACTTACAACGTATTCTATAACACATTTAACTAGTGCATACAATCTTTTTTTCAATGGTATATTGTCTTTATATTTTCCACGTGTTAACAGATTTGAAGCACGTTTAATAAGTTTAGGTTGATGAGAGCTATTTTCAAATTCACTATCCGAGTCTGAATCCTATAAATATAATAATAAATAAAAAAAAAAACCATAAAAAAAATATATTAAATATTTAATGTAAGAAATCTTTTTATTAAAAATTTATATTAGCAACTCATATAAATGTTACAATAAAATAGTTATAAAACATAAATAAAAATATTTTCTTAAAAATTTTTGTTAATTTATTATATTATTAATATTATATTATATAATTCAATAAAATTTCAAATGAATAAAATATTTAAAATTTAAAATAAAAGATGTTCGGATAAGTTAAATAAAAAATTTAAAAAGATTAAGATTCTAAAGTAAAACAAAAATAATATGCAAAAATATTCATTATTTTTCATTCAGCTTATTTTTCAAATTATAAACAAAATAGAATTATCTTTATCTCGTGCAAAATTAAGTAACTTATGAATTATTTAATATGTTTTGATGAACATTTTGTTTAAAATTTTTGTAAAATTTGTGTAAAATTATCTTTTAAATTTTTTATCTGAATTTCGTCTAAACATTTTGTATTTTAAATACAATTTTATTTACCTGATCAAATTCTAATAGTTCCTGTACTTTTTCTTGCATAATTTTTTGTAATTTCACAGCACACTGAAACATAAAAACATAAATAAATAATGCAAATTAATTAATCAATTATAAAATTTTTTAATATTTTACCTTATATAATCTAGATGTATGAATATTATATTTTTTTGCATTTTCAAACATTATATTCATATCACCAGCTACTTCGCTTACAGTACCATATTCGCCTTTCTATAAAAATTATTACATATATATATATATATATATATATAAATATATTCTATAAATTATTATATATAAATTAAACAAAAACAAGTCATAAAATATAAAATAATTTTTATTTTTGTCATTTACCTTTATCTTGGTACGAATTTGTAATAAAGAAATAGGATTTTTAATTGTTTTATAGTAATCAGGATACAATCTTTTTGATGGTAGTTTCCAAAAATATTCGCTCATTCTAACTCCTTTTAAAAAAAAAGAAAAGATTAATCAATATTGTAATATTTTAAAAAAATTTTATAAAATACCTTGATTATTAGGTGCTGTTCTAATAGTCTGAAATAATTGCCATTGTGGGTTATCAGCTTCTTCAGTTTCTGCAGGTTCTTCTTCTTCATCATCACTTTCTTCATCTTCATCTGGCAATGTTGCAGTTTGAGCTATTAAAGATTGCGCCATAGTACGACTTCCTCTTTTACTTCGTGTTGATGGTGCAGTTGTTGCAATTTTTGGAATTGCGCTGCTTAATCCAATATCTTGTTTTCTTGCTGCTGCAGTAATAATTTTTTTTAAAAGTTTTGCATCTTTGTAAATTTGAGAACCAGGTTCATTAAATTGGCAAGCATTACGGCACATAAGCATTAAATCTTTTTCCATATCTGTAATGTTATTATAGACTCCTTCTTGAATTTTTCTTGCAACTGTTTTTAAATCTACTGGTGTTTCAATTACATCATAATATTCTGGATATAACTGAAAAAAAATTGTTTATATAATAAATTTGTTTAAAACAATGATTCATTAATACTTCACCAGTAAGAATTTTTCGAACTTTTTTAGATGGCTTAAGTTGAAACATTGTATGTAATGGTCTATTATTATCAGCTGGATCTGTTGCTGTCATAATTGCTGCAAATAAATCTTCAAATTGTTGCATTGTTTCTTCATCAGGATTTGTAGAACTTTCTGATGTATCTTCTGCATCTTCTTGTTTTGTTGTAGCTTTCCGAGCCTACATAATTAACATTATATTAAACATTGATGGATACAAATATACATATATATATATTTTTACTTACTAATCGTCCCACTTTTAAAATAAGTTTTCCTTTAGGTTCTGGATCTTCGTATTCTTCCATAATACGATTTTTTGTATTTATACATAATTCCCAAAGTTCAGTAGCATCTTTATATTCAGGAGATGTACGCTATTTTGATGAAATAATTTTAATAACTTAAGAAATTCAAAAATTAAGATATATTCTATATTTTGTTAAACAATGTATATATTATGTAAATATATATTACCATATAAAAGGCTTTTGCATTGTTAACCATAAGTTGAATATCAGCTGCTAAATCATCCATATCCCTATATTCATCTGTTCTTAGCTTTTGTTGAACTTTTAATAGATCTATAGGATTTGTTACAACATCATAATAACCTGGTTCTTGTCTACGTTTAGGCACACGTATAAATGCATCACATAATAATGTTCCATCTTCTCTTTTTTGATTACGTAGTACATCATATAATTGTTGGCACAAGTCACTCTAAATATTAAATAAAATAAATTTGTTGGTTTATTAAATTTATATTATTAAAATTTTTTATTAACAATATTTTTTAATAATAACAATAACTCACAGGATCTAATTTTTTTCGTCTTTTTGTTGGTTCAGGTGGTATATCATCAGCATCATCTTCTGTTCCTCGACTTGCAACTGAAGATGTTCTACGGCGCTTGTTCATCTTGAACAATCTTATAAAATAAGCAACATAAACATGTATACAAACAAAAATATACCAATATTTTACATTAATATAAGATTGATGTATCATAAATTCACATCTAAGTCATAATGTCATTATAAAGGAGATATACAGGATATACATAGGAGAAATTAACTATATGTTGTCCAACTAATACAATGTAATTAAATCACTTGACTGCACAAAATCAAGATGTAAACAAAAATTTTATGAAAAGAATTTCATACACAATATATTAATTTACTAAGTATGTTACTTTACAAAGAAAGGCGTACGTATTAAGTATGAAAATAATCGAGATACACAACTTCAGCTTAAGAAAATTTCGCCGCCATGATATGTCGCCACTGTGCTTCAAAATGCAGAAATATACAGCATTTTAATTTTCGGATGTAATACTGCAAATAAATCCATCTTGGTTGAAATTTAATATAAAAACTACAAGACAATCGCATTTGAATAGCTAATAAAATAACGAAAGAATATGATCGAACTTCATAACAAACTATCAAAGTAAAATTTACCGCCATATCAAAACCTCACAGTATTTTTAATATTGTTCGTTCACGAATAATATCATTTTTTCTTTTGAGGCACTCATGTTATCATTTTCTGAAATCCTCACCTGTCGTTAAAATTTGTATAAAAAGTTTTTCATTAATATACAACATGTAAAATAAAAGCGTTACAAATATACTACACTTTTCATCTGCAACGCACGATGACACACGACTTGGCTAACGCCATGCCGTAAGCAACCGCGAGTTTATAATCATACGAATTGAACGATCCTATAGCTAGAAATAGAGACTACGTTTCATATATCCTTTCATCATAAATTTACTTAGTCGATAAAGTAGATTTATTTTAAATATTTCATATTCTATAGAAAATAATTTTATATATTTTTATTTTACTAAATAAGTATTTTAATTAAATTTAATGGGATTAAATTTTATATAAATAAGATATTAATTTGTTTTATTATTTTAATTATTTATATAATACATTCATTTTGTTAGTTTATTGTAATTTTCGTAATATAATTTTATTTATAAAACTGTGAATTAATATTAATCAAGAAAAAGAATTCAATTTAAAATAATATTTGTTTAATAATATATATTATAAGTATAATATTCGATTAAAATAGTTTATACAAATATAAATTTTATATTAAAATAAAATAAAATTTATTGAATTTAAATTGAAAAAAAATTTCCTAAAATTATTTTTTACTAAATAAAGATTTATTAAAATATATAAATATTTACAAATAAATATATAAAATATTTTACGTATATATTTAATATAATAACCGCTAATATTTAAAAATCGATTATTATATATCGATATTATAAAATTCGATATTTAGATATATATAGATAATAATGTAATGTAACATGAAACATTTGTGAATACATAGAACTGTGATCTAACCGTGTTAGTAGCCATTTCGCTTTTCTTGGAGTTGGGATTGGCAAAGAAAGTAAGATTTTAC